CTCAGTGTTTCTGCAGGTAAGGTCATGTTGTGAAAAGCTACAGTAGAGCCATACTAATAACTATACCTGTTCAGCGTCGAGCCATTACAGACGTTTGGACACCGCTATGAGATAGACAGATTAGATTGAACTTAATGCTGTAACAGCTCATCGAATTTTGGGTTCTCTGAACACATAGACTGGAGCCACCAAAGTTCAGAACCATTTTGCTTAATATTATTTGATACCCAAATTAAGCAGTGCTTGCAACATATTAAAATAGTCAATATTTTAAGTGTAAACTGTCATTTGATGGGATTTCTGTTGCCAGCATCCTGACAACTCTATTTAAAAAGCCCCAAATTGTTCTTCCCTTGATTTATATGACTGAATACCAACGTTTGCAATATGAGCGCAGTCTCCAATATATGCATGCCCTTTGCGCCCTCATCTAGCTAAAGAAATAAGCCAGTATCAAAAGTTATCCAGGCACCAGCCATTCTGGCCATTAATGCAAACATATGAGCAATGTCTAAATCAAACTCTCTGACGTATACCAGTACTGCTACCCTGCACTGCTGCTTGGGAAGGTCAGTGGAATCAAGTATTCTGTCTTCCATTAGGAGGACACTATTATCATTAATAGAACACTTCTTACTCAGAGCTGGTTTTATTTGTTTTATGTTGGATGGTTGGACTCAATGATCTTAAAGGTCTCTTCCAACGGAAATGATTCTGATTCTATCTGTAGCATATAAGTGTAGAATAAGAGAACAGAAGGATATGGGAAGAAGTCTACAAGCTCTAGGCCTTTCAGGTAGTTCAGCTATAAAGGAAAGAGGTGGGTACGTATTTGTTCTGCCTTTTTTTTTTTTTTTTTTGGCACTTTCTCCTGCCACCTAGCTTCAGACACCTAGCATAAGGCAATTGCCCTAAGTTGTCCCTACAGGCAATGGACAGAGATAAGCTTCTCTTGAGGGCTCACTTAAGACCTGAATAGTTGTTTTGACATGCCTTTTTCTCTCTACTGATGGAAAGGTAGGATATAGGTAGACCAAGCAGGTGTTTAATTTACATGGTCCAGTTACATTCCTAAAGGTGGTTGAGGGAATATTTTCATGCAGACATATGCACTCTTTGGATAGATGTATGGACTATGTGATGCAACTTCACTGATGGTAGCAAAAGTAAAGCAGTGAAAAGATGGCTCAAAAAAGCCATAGTTAGCTTTTTACAGATAGTATTTCTTGTTATTTAATACTGGATCTGTGTACTACCAGATCACCTGACAGTACAATTTTGATCTGGGTTGGGTATGAGCACACAGCTGTAAGTCTCCAGGACAGAACAAACCAATGTTGATGCTGAGCTTATGCTAGCTGTATGCTGGTTGAACCAATGGTATTTTACCCAGTATAGATAAAGTAAAAATTGTGTGAATAGATTATATCAGACCTACAATAAAGTTTGCAAAAAAGTGATTTCCATTTTCAGCCAATCTGAACTGAGTAAATTTGTATTAAGTACTTTGTGCATTATAGTTACATTAAGATGCCATGGACTATTCAATCATGGGTTATGTTGCTTCTGTGTGTCAACAGTGAAGATTATTTTAAAATGCAGCCTGAAAAAAAAAAAAACTAGGACTGTGAAGGAAAACTGTTCTTAAATCCTAGAAGTGACCTGTTAAAGGAAAAAAATCTGTTATTTGTAGTGCATTTGAATATAATATCAATATACGACGCAAACATGTATCTATTACTTAATGTTCAGTTAACAAGCAATGACTGGGGCTGCTTGTATGTTCAAGATTTATTTTCCTCCACACTCTTGTTCTCTGCATATTAAACTTCTGAATCAGGCTCTGTCTGTAAAAGATTCCTTGGCAGGCAGAGGAAGCAGGGACTCAACCAGTGATCCCTTGGGTGCCTTTCTCTGGCCCTATTTGAGGCATTCTGTTACAACTGCAAATTAGTTAATTGCAAACACAATCTTTCCAAAGCCTTCTGACATTTACACTTAGACAGGCATGACTGGTAGACTCATTGAAAATTACTAAGCTTTCGAGATTGAGTATTGCAGATTGAGTTTTGCCCTGGTCTTTAAGTAAAGATAAAAGCTTGCACAATTTAATAAAGTTATAAAAATTAATCAGGTTAATATTTTGTCAAGTCTACAATGCGCAATGGAGTGTGATGCAGGGATTTGCAAGCCAACACTTGGCCAAGCTCATGTATCTGCACAGCAGCACTGTACAGAGAAGACCTGCCACCTTGCTGCCATGTCAGTGCCTCAGCCAAAACTGCTGAACGTCTCAGGCAGGCTTTGCAGGCTCCAAGTAGCCTTACACTGCTATGCTTGGTACTGGAACTGGCATAGTTGGCACAGTGCTCCTTCTCGTTGGAAAGGCATACTCTCATCCAGCCCAAAGGGTGGTGCTGAGACATCAGAAATGTTTGTCTTTCCTGGATGTAAGGTGTGAGATAATTGAATTAATGAAGGAGAAATTATCAAGAAAGATAATCTACTAAAGGTTGGAGGCTGTTAAAAACCTGTTCCTCTCAGCACAAAACCCACACTTAACTCTATGTCCACAAGGCTTTTCTTTTTCCTACTCCCTCATATTTCATCTACTGAAATGCTAGTGTGCCATCAAGAAAAGATAACTGTGGAGGGAAATTGCAGTCTTACCTTTGATTAATTCTTTTCCTGTACCCACTACCTTTGTTAATGTAATGGGTCTGCATTCATCCACTTCTTAAAATAAATAGAATTATGGTTGTAATCCAATTGCAGAAATTAGTCATATTTTTGGAAAATTTGAAGAAGCCAATGAAGCAATGAAAGGAATAAAAAAAAAAACCCCACCATATTAGGTGCAACTGATATATGTTATTCTCATGTTTTACAATTTTACAAAGGAAATAATTAGCACTTTCCTTACATTAGCATGGAGTTCAAGGCAGAAGCAAGGTTAATCACAGGGTGCTGTAAGGTTTGTAA